AACTATAACTATAACTAAATATAACTAACTATAACTTACTGTAACTATAACTATAACTAAATATAACTAACTATAACTAACTGTAACTATAACTATAACTAAATATAACTAACCGTAACTATAACTATAATTTACTATAACTATAACTGTAACTATAACTATAACAAGTTTCAGTAAACTGGTCTAAACAAACTGTGTCAGCACAAACAGTTTGTAACCCATTTTAAGACTCGAGGAGACAGATCTTTTAAAGCTGTGGCGCCTCGCCTCTGGAATGAGCTACCTTGCACCATTCGATCTCTGGATTGTATAGACACTTTTAGGAAACAACTTAAGACCCACTTTTTTAAACTTGCTTTTTAGCGTAATACTGTGTTTTATTGTTTTGTATGTTGCTTTTAATTTATTTATTTCTTTTACACTTGGGCAGCACTTTGTGACCCTGGTCTGTGAAAAGCGCTATAGAAATAAAGTTTACTTACTTACTTACTTACTTACTTACTTACAACCTCTCCTTTTGTTTTGTATAGTAGAAAATATGAGTTATTTATCACTTTGTCAAACTTTCTGAGCTGGAGATCAGGGCCCGTATTCATCAAACTTCTTAGATTAGAATTTTAGATTTAAGTGCTTAAAATTGCTTAGATTTGCTAAATACACACTTTGGTCTATTAAGCTTCTTTCTGCGTAGTTAAACTTCTTTATGCTTCTTTAATTTTCTCAAATTAAACTGGCATTAAGCTTTTTTCTACTATTTCAGCTATATTTTGACTTTTTCGGCTCCTTTTTTGTACTTCTTTCTGCTTCTTACTGCTAATTTAAGCTTTATATACTTTCAGTTGCATTATTCCAATTTTAGCTGCTTTTTGCAACTTTGTTTAGCTGTTGCTAAATGTAGCTTTTTCAAGCTAAATACACAATTTAGGCTGCTTTCTGCAAAGTTAAACATTTTTCTTTCATCTTCTCAAATTAAACTGACATTAACTCTTTTGCTGTTAAACATTTTCAGCTCCATTTCAGCTGAAGTTTTTAGCAATAAGCATGCACACTAGCATTTCCACAAGAAAGGCTGTTTCTCTAGTTTAGATAATTCTGAGTGAAAACTCCTCCTAACCGAACTAAGTCAGAGTCTACAGGATCAGCTTTGTGGCACAGTCAGGTGTGACTGACATTTAAAGGGTCTGTGACATCAAATTTTTGTAATAAACATGAATACATTTTTAGAAAGATAACATTGATAACATGTTGCAAAACTAATTTCACGTCGCTCGGATGAACGATTGTTGAGATATTTGCATGTGAAGAAACAGGAAGTGATGTCAGCATGTAAACAGAGCGATGCTACAAAAGCTAACACAGACTGTCGGGAAGAATCTGATGTTTCTTTAGGCTTTGTTTAGTCGCTATCAAAGAGAGAAGAAGAAGAGTTAGTTTAAATAATTTTGTCTTAATAAACTGATACCAGAGAGTTTATTTTATTAATGAGTTCCCCTTTGATGTCACTTCCTGTTTCACTTTGGCTGAGCCTAATTTAAAAGAAAATAGGCCAGTTATGAGACAAAATGGGTAAAATCATGTGTATTATGCCAGTTTTCTTAAGTATAAAGATGCTTTCTTTGACTTTTTGTATTTGAAGGATAGGTACAATATGTCTCAGGAAATTTAAGAGTTACTCTTAAACTTTGCTTAAAGTAATACTAGCTGCGTTTCTACTGCAAATGTGCGCAAAACTTTGTCGATAATCTGTTAATGTCGAAAAACACAGTTTCGCACTCGCGGTGTTACCATTAAGTAAGAAATGTTATTAAAGTCACGTGAATACGTTTGTTCTCATGATAAGTCATTACAAACATGGCAGCGATGGATGTAAACACATAGCATGTTGCTACCACGACACTAGCGCTCATCATCAGAGGAGACGTCGGCGTCTTTTATCGAGGCTTTCCAGAGACAAGTCCCTACTTGGGAGCGGCTACGTATGCTGTGTTTTTGGGAAATTTGTAGTTGGTGTGTTTTCCATTTTATTTTATACTACTTCTGTGATATTACTACTATTTTTACTTCCTGTTATCTTCTTCATCATCGTCTTTTTCACCAGTAGAAACAGACGGTTGTTGATCACGTGACTCTCGTGATGCGAAAAAAGTGTTTCCATTGCAGTTTTGCGAAAAACACCGATTTCGATATGACCGAAAAACCACCTCATCCTAGCGCAAAAACATTTTGTCGAAAAACTTAATTTTTTTTTTAATTGACGTGTTTCCATTGAGCAAATATTTTTTCAAAATTCTCATTTGCGCATTTTCACGGTCAATGGAAACGCAGCTAATGAGACGCTTGATAACTGACTTTTACTCTCAGCTTTTAACTAAGAGTACGCGTAATTCTAATTCTTGAGTAATTCTAAGAAGTCTGATAAATACGGTCCCTGATGTGCATCGCCTGCAGCGACACTTCAAATGAGTCTCACCTCTCCTGTTTATCCTTGTCCTTTTTGTCTCCTCTCAGGCACCAGCAACGGCTCTGTGCTGGTCTACAACCTGACCAGTGGTCTTCTGCACAAAGAGCTCAGTGTTCACTCCTGTGAAGTCAGGTAAATGTTTGTGTTAGATACACCTGTCCAATAAGATAACTGATTCTAGTTTAACTTTTAAATCCAGTCAGAATTAAACCCAGTAAGATATTAATTGTTAATAAGCTTGCTGCTAAACCCTACATCAAAATGTCTGAAGTGTTTTTCTCAGAATTGGAGCAGAATGTGGGAAACACGAACCAGTTTCACAAAGTGTTCGCACCATGAAGGCTCAGGAAACAGGTCCTCGTTAATCCAGCGCTGCTGTGTTTGGTTAATCCACACATATCAGTGTTTATATACAGAAACCCAGCTGTTCCAGCAGGCTGTGTTATTACAACACTCTGCTGTAAACAGCACATTAACCTGTCACCTATGGATTTTCAGACGTTTTAACAAAAGTGGTCATGAATCATGATGGAATAAAAATGACTACCGTATTTATTCAAGTATAATATGAAAAATTTAATCCATAAAATAATCCACAAAGTTGGAGTATTATAGTCAGTTGCATTTTTTTCATGTATTTTAAGTGAAATATTAGCTTCACTCACAAAATGAGTCCGGAAATGAGACCACGTCACAAAAAGCGGTTGAAGCGAGCTCACCTCTGATACTATCGTAACTCTGAGCGAGGCAGTAACAGACCCAGGCAGGTGACATGATGTGAAAAGAGAAAAAGCAGTCCTGCAGTTTAGTAATGATAACGAACTAATGACATTAATGTGCGATGGGGCCGCTCCTGGAACAACAGCAAACATGTTTGGCTGTAATGGCTGCCGTTTACCGGTGTTCTGAAAAGGTTTGTTTCCCAAAAAAACTTTCCCCACCAGAGGGGGCGCTCGTGAGTGGGCATTAACGAAGTACAGTCCACCAAAATGAAGTACTGGTATTAGAAACAACACCAGAGTATTAGGGTTTTCTTTTTATAACACTTTTATAATGTTTGATCTATTATGTGTTAATTGAAATAGAGTAGATACATGTCCGAATTATGAACAACACATA